TGGTAGGAACACTAGATGAAGAGTCCACAGACTCTGGGCTACAGAAGCGACTCTCACTGCAAAACAGCGCATTTCCTTGAGCCTGATGTTTCCCCAAAATCTGTGAATTGGGCAAACTGACTAATTTCAGCTGAGAATTTAATCAATCATTTTATTTTTCTCGAAATAAATATAGATGAGGACAATGGCATGAATATTTCAGCACGTTCACCTCCCCAACTGATTTTCACACCACAGAAATGTTTAAAGCCACATTTCCAGTAAAACAGAGCGAAAGCAAATGTTCACCTGAAATTCTGACACAAATTTCTCTCTAACCTCTAGTTAGAAAAACTAACACAGAAAGAAAGAGAATGTTTTTATTACCAAGAGGAAGGCTTTTAACCCCATTTGAAGGACAATATTAACAGTTCAGGAATACTAAATATGTCATGCTGACTATTGTTCTGAGCACTTGGTGCTGATTCTTCACAACAGTCTTAATGAGAAAGATACTAGTATTTTATTAAAAGCAAAAATAAAGCACAGAGGGGCTGGAGAGATGGCTCAGCAATTAAGAACACTGCCTGTTTTTGCAGAAGACCCAGGTTTGATTCCCAACATTTACATGATGGCTAACAACCATTTGTAATTCCAGTTCCAGGGCAAACTGATGCCCTCTTCTGACCTTCATGAGCATTGCACACCATGGGTGTACTTACAAACGTGCAGGCAATACACTCATACACAAAAAGTTTTAAAAAGTAAAATAAAATAAAATATTTTTAAAAATAAAGCAGAGAGATGAGATAAGTTGGCCTGGGCCACATGGCTTGCAGAGCTGGGGAACTGAAGTCTGTGGTGAGAGGATTCAGTTCCCAGGGCAGAGCTCTTACCACCTATGACCCCACCTCTTAGTCTGAGCATTTGTTTACCACAGCAGTCACAGACCATAGCAATAACAATGCTTCTGCACTACTAATTAATTGCCTAATCAATTACTTGCTGATTAATGACCTAATTAATATTTCCACAGAGTAGTGACCCAATACCACCCAGCACCTGCTAGAAGCTCTCTCAACGTCACAAGTGTTCAATGCCACCATCAGCCCAATACTTCACTGAAAATGAGGCAATGCCCATGTACAGTAATACCATATAAAATGGGGGAAATCTGAAGCTTGGTTTTATAGAAAGTCTTACTGTTTCTTTATGACCCCATTAAAGTTTACAACCACCCTGGAAGTAGCTGGCTTCACTCTCCTCCCATCCCCACAGATAGCAGCACTATCTGTGTTTAGGGTAGACTATGGAACTAGAGTGGGTGGGTTTACATAGTGGGTAGGTTTACATTGTTTCCATCCCCTATTTGCTAAGTAATCTCAGGTCAGATCTTCCTGTGCCCAGGAAGACCCAAAGAAGAATGAGATAGCAAGGCTCTATCTACTTTCCAGGGTAGATTTTTAAAGATGTATTTACTGTGTGTGTGTGTGTGTGTGTGTGTGTGTGTGCCTAAGGGTATGTATATGCACCACATGCATGTAGGAGCCTGCAGTGTTCAGTCAGAAGAGGGCATTGGATCTCCTGAAACTGGAGTTACAGGTGATTGTGAGCCACCATGTGGGTGCTGGGAACCAAATCCAGGTCTTCTGCAAGAGCAGTAAGCATTTTTGATGGCCTAGCCATATCCCGAGTCCCTCCTGGGTATTTTAAAGAGGAAGTAGGGTAATGTGTGCAAGTGCTTAGAGGGGTATGTGGCCTTTACTAAAGACTTATTTTTGTTAATATGAGGGATGATTTACCAAACACCACAAAGACAGAAAGTAATTGGATTTAATCTGTCAATTTCAAAAGGCCTCCCTTTCTTTACCCAATTTCTATGCTATTACGAAAATTCACCATTCACTTGAAGTCCTACTACGTGTCAAAGTACTCAATGCAAGTATCTTCCTATTAAAATTGCTCAGAGACCCACAAGGTAGGTTTCTGTTTTGCAGATGATAAGATCTAAGTTGTGAGTAGTTACCTGATTTATACTTGCTTAAGCAGTGAACATCCTTTGTCAGGATTAACTAGTGAATGAAGTGAGATTTAGTGAGTCCTAAATAACATTTAAGTTTCTGACAACACCCTTTAATGTGTGCTATTTTTTAAAGTGCCGTCTAAAAGACATAAACTATGATTCCCTTGCTTTGTTGGCTTTATTAGTTTGAGAAGAAGGATTAAATCCCAGTAAAAAAAAAAAAAAAAAATGTTTGACTTGAGTGAATTATCAAAATGAAATGCTGCCTCAAATGAATTCTTCATCTGCCTGCAGGGTGGCTCCAAGCCTCAGGAATCCACCAAATGCAATTTGTAGATGGGTACATGATCATGTACCAAGGCAAACACCCACCCGTTTAAGAAAAATGACTTTGGAGGGCAAAGGAGACTGAAGCAACAGCTTCCTCTGTGGCTCTGGGAGGAGAAAATGAACAATAAGTGATGATGGAATCTCTCCCCTGCAGCCTCACACAATGGTTTTTCTTGCAAATGAGACATACTGTGAAACAGCTTGTGAGATGAGCTTCATCAACAATAAGTAATTTTTATTCAGATTTTATTGTTGAATACAATGAACATGATTAAATGTTTCAGATAAGCCTATTCAGACCTTAACCAAACTACCAAAAAATAATAATAACCCCACCCATCCTACTAAAAAATCATCTTCTAAATCTGCTTTCACTAAGGGATTTAATTGTAAAGTTCATGAGTAAAGCATCCCCACTTGAGAGCCATGTGGTTCCCAGGAAGATAGTAGCAACACGTTAGCACTTCCAGCCCTGGCCTCCTCTCTCATCGCTGCAGATCCTGCTGGCGTTGCCAAATAGTTACAATGTCAGTCCTTTCAAATCACTACATTTTGAACTTCCTAAACCTTTACGCGGGCCTCTGTGTATGGAAAAGAACAATAGCACTTCAAAAGCCGCTTCTGAGAGTTCTCCAATACTCCATTTGAATGCTAGGGTTTCAATCAAGGACAGCGGCAGACAATTTGATTGCTTAGAAGTTGACTTTTATATAGCTTTGATTAGGTCGCCCTTCTCAATGGGAAATCAAGAAAATCTTTGATCCCTTTCAGTTTCCAGAAGTCACCAAGCCTTGTCAGGATAGGGAGGGAGAGATATGGAGAGGGGAGTGTCTGTGCTCCATCTAACCTCTTTCCCCATTTCTTCTTTTTTTGCCTGGGCAACTCAGGGTTCCATCCAGAATTGCTCCTCTTGGAGATAATAAAAAACAATGGGTACTAATTCAAGGGGTGGGGATGGTTTATAATTTTATGGATTTCCCGAAGACCCATAATTGGCACATAAATGTACAAACGTGAACCGGATAATTAGGGGGTTTCTGAACGTAAGCCACCTTTAATTTACGTGATTACTTGAAAACATGGGAAGTGTTGGACGTGTCAGCGGAACCCCCACAAGGCCTTTATTCAAAACCATCAACATTGTGAAAGTGCGTCTAATGGGCTAGTTAGGGGAGGAGAGCCGGAGGAAAGCGATGGCGATGTCGAGGATGCTCTATCCACCCAAGGCTGGCGGGGGAGGCCTTGCCCTGGCAACCACCTCCGGGTGGGTGGGGGTGGGGGCAGAGAACGGCGCTCTGGCTTCCGTAAGCGCTCCACTCCGGTCTCTGTCTCTCTTTTTCTCTCTCTCTCTCACCGAGCTAAACACAGCCGTGCGCCGACTGCAAACGCACACGCATGCACCGACCCACGCGGGCACGCACCCAGCCTTAGAGACAAACATCAGAGCGCGCAGATGCCCGCGCAGTGGCGCTCTCCACTTCGCCCGCCGACACCCAGCGCCAGGCGGTTGCCCAGCGCGCCCGGCTCCCCACCCCCATCCCATTCCTTCACTCTCCCAGCCCAGGCGGAAGTACCCGGCAGACCCCCAACAATGAAGACTTGTGTGATGCAGTTGGGGGCTGGGGATAGTTTACAACGAGCGAAACAGTGTGGAGGGTCTGCGAGAAGGCCACGCAGCAGTCCAGTGTCACCGGTTCGCCACGTAGTCCCCACCCAGTCCACCAGGATCACCGGCAAAGATTAAATAAATAAATGAATACATAAACAAATAGGAAAATAAAGAAAAATAGAAAAAAGAGCCTTAAAAAGTGCAGTAAAGACGCACCCTCCCACCAGGGGTCACAATCATACTCCGTGGGACACAACCAGCGAAGGCAGCGTGCCGCCAGGCTTGGAAATGGACTTTGTAGACTAGCCCAGCGCCTTCCCCCGGCCCCACGCACAACCTCTCCCCACGCCACACTGGGCTCCCTGGCTCCGGTTGTTTCGGCGGCCGACACCCCGTCTTATGGCTCCTTTTACGAGACTAACGAAGGGGAATCAAAGTTTCCCCGGCAAGAAAAATCCCAAGCTTGCGCGATTTACAGAGCGTGGAGTGGGAAAGGCCGGGCTGCCAGAGGGGTGGCGGGTGGCCGAGGGCTTGGGGACCGAACGGAAGAGCGAGGGGCCGGGTACGCGGGACGAAGGACCCCAGTCGAGGTGGAACCGCAGCGCTGCCAGGACGCAGAGAAGTGAGGAATAGGGCTCTTGGAGGGGAGAAGACGTCTGGTCTGCGGGTGCCACTAGGGAGGCATACACGGGATGGCGGGAGCCGGGACCCCGGGACGGAGAAGGATGCAGGGGGGCCGGCGGAGGGACAGGTGAGGGTCTTGGGTGGACAAGTCTGGAGAGGATCGCGCGTGTTCACAAGTAGGCGGCCGGGGAGGGAGAAGCCCGAATCGCCTCTCTCCTCCCAAGCAAGTGGTGTCAGAAGACAGGAAACTGATGCAGTCGCCTGCCCGAGGCTCCTCCAGCCAAACTCCGGAGAGATGCGCCCGAAGAGCGGTCCTCCATTCCCGGGCTCGCGAATTCCAGCGGAGCCACCCGGGCTCGCCGGAGCTGGGTCCCCGCGGGCCACCGGCGCGCGCTCAACTGGGGGCCGCCGCGTGCCCCCCGCCGCGCCTCTCACCTCGGCTCCCCGGAGCATCCTCCTCCGCTGCCGCAGCAGCCCTGGACGCGGCTCCCCATGCCCGGCGGGCGGCTGCACTCAGACGAGCTCTCCGGCCCGGGGAAGCCCGGCCATGCGCCGAGCTGGGTCCATCCTCCCCGGGAAGCCACAGGCGCGCGTCAGAGCAGGGGGAGGAGACCCGGCCCGTGCGGTGCGCAGACCCGCCTCCTCCCGCCGCCCCACCCGCAGCGCCGCTCACCTGCCGCCCCCGCTGCCTGCGGCGCTCCTCGGTCGGCCTCACAGCTCCCGCTGCCGCCGGGGCGCTCTCTGCACCGCCCGAGCGCGCTCCGACAGCTGAGCAGAGTCGCGGTGGCGGCAGCGGCGGCGAGGAGGAGGAAGAGCAGCGAGCGAGCGAACGGGGGCGCCGCGGCTTGCTGTCGCGCCTTTGGAGCCCGAGCGCTCGCTCTCCATCCCGGGAGCGGAGCCGGGAGCCCAGGGACAGCCGGGGTGCCCGCCCTGCGGCTCGGCGAGTGGGAGCCGCGGAGAGCAGCGGGTCGCAAGGTGGCCTCCAGCAGCCCCCGCGGTCCTCCTTCGTTTTTCTTTAAGGTCTGCTTTTATCCAAGCCTCTCGAACCACATATACCCAAAGTAGAATGGGCGAAGACCAGAGCTTGTTGCCCCCGCGCCCCTTGGCAGGAGGGGGCGCTCTCTATCAGTGGCCAAGGCCAGCTTCATCTTGGCCCTGCTTTTATTTAAGTTTCCCTGGTAAGGCTGAATACCAGTACCTGGAAGGTTTGCACCTGTCGTGATTTCATCACTCCTTGGCAGCGATCTGTATGTTTTTGAGAGTATGTAGGCCCCAGTTTAACCTGGTTTTCCTACTCCATTCTTAGAATGTAATCAGAACCTGCACTGTGCAAAAGGCTCCTGGAACTTCAGGCCCTACCTTACAAAGATCTCAGAAACGCCAAAGGGGGCGGTGGGGGGGGGGGCTGAAATTCTTCCACGTTGAGATTGGTTCAACTTCCATGAGCGCCCCCGTGGTATATTGAGTCCCCAGTACTAGATGGAAGTGGGTAAGGAGGAAATCATATGCTGCCCCTTAGAGCTTGGTGCGTAAGGAGCAAAGGAGGAGACCGCACTACTTCCTTTAAAAGTTTACTCATTCTTTTAAGGGCCACACTTCTGCCCTCCAGCTGTGTGATAATAAAGCTAATGTGGTGGGCTTGTTTTGGGGGGTTATTTATTTTTTTCCTGGTAGTTTCTGTTACTCACCCATGAAAATTTAATGAAGCATTTAGGGTTATTACCTCCAAAGTCAATGGGCTAAAAATATTTAGCCTAATGCACTCCTTGTGGAGCCAGTAGGTTTGTGGCTGGTGTACGAAGAAAGTCATCTGGAGACCCTCCCTTCTTCCACAAAATTCACGAGCCATTACACTTATTCTGTAATAACAGCTTCTGTACAAATGGAGGCCCTGCAAGCCTGGCTGTCAGGAGCCTCCTGAAAACATAGCAATTTACATAGAGACAAGAAAAATGTGTGAGGTCATTGGCAGGAAGCAATCTTGGGGGAAAAGTTGATCAGAAGAAACTTCCCACAAGGTGAGAGGGAGGTTCTGAGATTTCTGTCCACCTCCACGGCGGCTGCCAATCCAAAGGTGGGGAAATCCCACTGAGTCTACTCAAATTTTACAAAGTTCTGAAGGGTGAGACAAGTTGCCGCCAGGTTCTGTTCTACACCCTGTGAGATGTTCAGACTAGTGGGCAAACAGTTGTGACCAAAAAAATCACATTTCTTCTCTACAAAGACAGACACTGGAGTCTGAATGCAACAGAGAGAAATCAGGCAAGTCATGGCAAAAATTGGGGGAAGAGATTAGAGACAACCTAGTCACTTCTGCAGGCTGGCAAATGTCCAACCTCAGGTGATCCAGCGTAAGCCCCAGTGTTCATAAGTTCTGCCAAAAAGAAACTAAATTCTAAAGTTCTCCATGCTTTAAGGACAGCTTTGAAACTTCCACACCATTTACATGTATTTGAGAAGCGAACACCTGAGGTGTGGTATTCACCTGCCTCCGGCTGTGTTTTCAGTTGTCATTGTGGCTACAGATACAAAAGGGAATCAGGACACTGAGCTGACCAAGTTATACAACATAAAAGGATGTAAAACTGTCACTATTCAGTGTTGGACAAAGTCCACCATGGTTTGAAACTGGTGGGCAAATTCCTGTGAAATCCAACAGGGGCAGCAAGCCACAGCTGTTCTAATTGGAGGACAGAAAAAAGAACAATGCGCAGACTCACTGTGTACAAGCTGTCCACCACAGATCTAAGGGCCTTCAGGGTGAAACTGAACCAAGTCTTAAAGGACTATTTTGTTGCCTCACTAAACATCAACAAATACCTCATCTAAGAGTTTTGCTGTGGTTCTTTAAAACTACCATTGCAATTTGTACTGAGTGTGGCATAAAGAAAATAGCAATAAAAGTTCTTTCATAGTCTACTCTGAGAAATGGCAGAGTAATAATAGCAAAGCTGTTTATATTATTCACTGTGTTACAGTTCAGAGTGTGTCTAATATAACCAACCCTTGTAACCTTTACAACATGGACTTTGAAACCAGTGGGTCTTCTTCACTTCTGACGGGTCACTTCTCTGTAGTTCCATGTTCTCAGCCCTCCAGCTGCAAGGGAGAATACCCCCTTGTGCGATTCCCATGAGCTTTAAATGAGACAGTAGTCTGACCATGGCTGACTCCAAAGAGGTAGATATTGGTTCTCTTCCCAGGATAATCCTCAAACTTCATTTTAACTCAGGACATCAATGGGGCCATTCTGTACATCAAGCTCTGTGTTAAGAGCTCAGTCAAGTGGATGGAGACTGGATGGGCATGAGTAACACAGATGGGCGAAAAGGGGAGAGTCTGAACTTCATACAAACCTTCCTTCTGCTCACGATTGTCAAGCACGCACAGGGGCAGGTGATGTAGTGCTGTTCGAATCCAGCCGTGACTGGAAGCAAAACCAGTGGTCACATATCATAAGTCCTATGAGTGATAACCACTCCCTCAAAGAAAGTGCAGAGTGTCACATTCAGTGAATTGTATACTATTTAAATTCTGTTTGTTCTTACAATTTTCCAAAGATATGTCTCATTGGCTGGAGTATAATGGCTTCAAAGTATGGAGATTCTCCTTTTCTTATGGCTTTACTGAGGGATAGTTGGTAAATCAACAGTATATATATTCAAGGTGTACAGTGTGATATTTTCACACACACGTGTGTATATATAAATATACTATATACTGTGAAATGATTGCCACACCCAAACTAGTTCACATATTCATCGCCTCACATAGTCATTGTGTGCCTGTGTGATGAGAACACTTCAGATCTACTCCCTAGCAAATTCCAAGTGTATAATACATTATTATTAAACAAACTCAACATGTGGCACCTCTAGAATTTACTCATCTCATAACTAAAGATTCAGATTCTTTGACATCAATCCTCCCATTTTCCTGACCCTATAACTCCTGGATACCACCATTCTACTTTCTGATTTTACGACCTTAACCTTATTTAGACTCCACACATTTGTGAGATTATGCTATGTCTGTCTTATTTCATGTAGTATAATGTAGTTGAGTCTTGTCCATGTCACAAATGGCAGGGTTTCCTTCTTTATAAAATGTATTTTTAGTTTTATTTTATGTGTACAAGTGTTTTGTCTGCATATATATATATATATATATATATATACACACACACACACACATACATGTGTATATGTACCACGTGCATGCAAAGCCTGCAGAGGAAAGAAGGGGGCATTGGATCCTGAAAGTGGAGTTACTGACTGTTGTTAGCTGTCATGTGGGTGCTGGGAACTGAACCTTGGTCCTTTACAAGAGCAGCAAGTAACCACTGAACCATCTCCGCAGCCCCAATTTCTTTCTTTTTAAAGGCTTCATAATATTCCATTGTAGAAACTAACCAAGTACACACACACACACACACACACACACACACACACACACATTCTTTAACTGTATCTCTGTCAACACAGTATATTGATTGTATTGTGAAAAATGCTATAATGAACAAGGAAGTTCATTATGTCTTCTCTTTTAAAAATATTATTTTTATTTTATGTGTATATTACTTGCATGCAAGTGAGTGCACCCGTGTTGTGCAATGCCTCAGAGGTCAGAGGAGGGCTTCCGATTCCCCTGGAACTGGAGTTAAGGACAGTTTGCAACCACCATGTGGGTGCTGGGAATCGAACCCAGGTCCTCTGCAAGAGCAGTTAGTGCTCTTAACCATTGAGCCATCTCTCCAGCCCCATAAAGTTCAGATGTTAGGAATCAAACCTGAGTTCTTTGGAAGGGGAGACTATGCCCTTAACCATTAAGCCAGCCACTCCTCCATATGTCTTCTTGACATTAGCAGTCCATTTTCTGGAGATAAATACATGGAAATGAGATTGGTAGTCCATACAGTAATTCAAAACACTGTTTTCAAGAGCTCCATACCATTTTCTAAAATAGGTTTATCAACTTACAATCCCAAGGGCAGTACACAGAGAGGGGTTCCCTCTTTTCTACATCCTTACCAATAATTGTTGTAATTTGACTTTTTGATATTAATCAATCTGACAGATCGTCTTGTGTATTTAATTGCAGTTCTTGGAAGTTTTCATACACCCATTGGCCATTAATGTGTTTCCTTGGGGTGAGAGGTGGGGACTATTCAGGTCCTTTGCCATTTTGTGACCAACCTGACTCCTCTTTGCAACAAGTTGCATGAGTTCCTTGTATATCCTGGGCACTGAGCCCTTGTCAGATGGTTCCCACTCCAAGGGCTCTCTTTCCATTCTATTAACCTTTTCTTGACTCTGCGAAGCTTCCTGGAGTTTTGGTCTGAGTTTTTAATGGGTCAAGTCTCATATTCAAGTTTTAAATATATATCGGGTTTTTATATGGCAAAAGAGAAGAGGGTGGTGTCATTCTTCTGTCAAAGCATATTCAGTCATCCTAATGCCAGTGATTGTAGACATTTCCTTTGCCCTGTGTGTACTTGGTGTCTTTGTCAAAGATTAGTAGGAAGGATATGCATTTGTTTATAGGCCAGTTGTTTTTTTTCTGTTGGTCTAAATTATCAGTTTTGATGAAGGTACCATACTGTTTTGATTGCCAT